GAGACATGGGAGTTAGCTTCGCTTCCAAATGGACATAAGGCGATTGGTGTAAAATGGGTGTACAAAGCGAAGAAGAACTCCAAAGGAGAAGTTGAAAGATACAAGGCAAGATTGGTGGCAAAGGGCTATAGTCAAAGAGCTGGAATCGACTATGACGAGGTATTTGCTCCTGTTGCTCGATTAGAAACAGTTAGACTAATCATTTCATTAGCAGCCCAAAAGAGGTGGAGGATACATCAAATGGATGTAAAATCAGCCTTCCTAAATGGAGATCTTGAGGAAGAAGTCTACATTGAGCAACCACAAGGCTACATAGTCAAAAGAGAAGAAGACAAAGTCTTGAGGTTAAAGAAGGCGCTCTATGGGTTGAAACAAGCACCAAGAGCTTGGAACACTCGTATTGATAAGTATTTCAAGGAGAAAAGCTTCATCAAGTGTACATATGAGCATGCACTATATATCAAAACACAGAACAATGATATATTGATTGCATGCTTATATGTAGATGACTTGATATTCACAGGCAGCAATCCAAGTATGTTCGAGGAATTCAAGAAGGAGATGACAAAGGAGTTCGAGATGACCGATATTGGATTGATGTCTTACTACCTTGGAATTGAAGTGAAACAAGAAGACAATGGAATCTTTATCTCTCAAGAAGGTTATGCTAAAGAAGTGCTGAAGAAGTTCAAGATGGATGACTCGAACCCAGTTTGTACTCCAATGGAATGTGGAGCTAAGTTATCAAAGCATGATGAAGGAGAGAGTGTGGATCCAACACTCTTTAAGAGCTTGGTTGGGAGTCTACGTTACTTAACATGCACAAGGCCTGATATCTTACATGCAGTTGGAGTTGTGAGCCGATACATGGAGCATCCAATAACCACTCACTTCAAGGCAGCTAAGAGGATCCTTCGCTATATCAAAGGTACGATCGACTTTGGCTTGTATTACTCTATTTCTGATGATTACAAGCTTGTTGGATATAGCGATAGCGACTGGGGTGGAGACGTAGATGATCGGAAAAGCACAAGTGGTTTTGTGTTTTTCATTGGAGAAACAACTTTCACATGGATATCGAAGAAGCAACCGATTGTCACTCTTTCCACTTGTGAAGCGGAGTATGTAGCTGCTACTTCATGTGTTTGCCATGCTATTTGGTTACGAAACTTATTAAAGGATTTGAGTTTGCCACAAGAAGAGCCGACGAAGATCTTTGTGGACAACAAGTCAGCAATAGCTTTGGCAAAGAATCCTGTCTTCCATGATCGAAGTAAGCACATCGACACTCGCTATCATTACATTAGAGAATGTGTTACCAAGATGGATGTGCAGTTGGAGTACGTGAAGACGGACGATCAAGTAGCTGACATCTTTACCAAATCACTCAAGCGTAAAACCTTTATCAAGATGAGAAGTTTGCTTGGAGTAGCAAAATCAAGTTTAAGAGGGGGTGTTGAAAGATAAACTTGATTTTGGATCAAGCTTAAATATTGGGTTAATGATCCAATAATAATTGGGCCAAAACCCAATTATGCTTAATCAAAGATTTTAGAGTTTTCTCTAGAAAAATCAACACTTTCACCTCCTTAAAATATTCTAGAGAGTTGTAGAGAATAAATATCTAGAGATTTCTCTAGATAATTGTTGTAAAATAATCTAGATATTAAGATAGAATTCTCTAGATTTAGGAATAAAATATTTTAGATATTTTGTACTTTGGAGGCTATAAATAGCTACCTCCTCTCTCATTTTGTAACTAACAAACCAAGAGAAAAACTAAGAGAAGTTAATAAGAAGTAAAGTTCTTAAGTTCTTATCAAAGCTTTCCTCTTCTTAAACTTGTCCATTTGTCTCTAAAGTTTTAAAACACCTTCTCCATCACTTACTAAAACTCTTTCTTTCCAACAAACTGTTTATGATATTTTAGGCGGGATTCCAGCCTCGATTTAATCGATGTGTTTAGCTTTTATTTTTAAGTTGGACCGCAGGATGAAGTTGCTAATAAATACTTACATGATCGGCCGGTTAGAATGTTGACACGTGTAAATTAGGTGGTTGAGCCGAACAGTAATTCATAGGTTTGGCATTAATATTCTACAGAAAATCGATTGTGACTGGTATCCGTTTTAGGTTGTGTGCGGCCGTGTGAGTTTTTAGAGGGCTACAATGGAGGAGCATTGTCTGGTGATATGCGGCGAGTGGGTTTGCGGCGGCGATTCGAAGTGGGATTTTGTTGTCGACCGGAGCATTATGTCGACAGTTGTTTTGTTACGTGATGATATGAGCGTTTGGGAGATGAAGATAGCTATATCTGCGGAGTTTGGTGTTAGTGGTGCCGTGGCGGATAGAGCCGTTGTTAGCTACTGGCCCCCTAATACGAATGAGTTAGCTACTGGTATTATGACCCCTCCGGTTTTGGTTAACAACGTTGGCGGTTTGAAGCATTTACGTGTTCATGAGGCAATGAATCTGTTCCTTACGCTGGAGAAGACGGTGGATGAGGGATATACGACGCCTGCAACGACGGCTAAGAGGGCAGCTATACCGGTGGTGGGGTTAGCTACAACGAAGAACAGAGCATCGGTGGAATCGGGAGATGTTTATGAAACAGGGGTTACATTGTTTGGGCTAGAAAAAGGTATGAGCTCAGGAGTAGGCGATATGACACAAGGGGGTAGCGGGAAGAGGGTTTTCCCGGCCGAAGGGGGCTTTGGTAGTAGCGGTAAAAGGGTGGCAAGTAAGACTTCTCTTAGTGGTAGTTCATCTGGGTTGACATATGCTTTCCCGTTCGATTTGAACGATGTAGACGTGTTTGGCGGGATAGGAAAAGCGGATAATAATGGCATGAGTTTGGAGGACATTATAAGCGACGTGGATATTATCGCGGAGGTGGAGATGGTTGAAAACAGGTTTACTAGGAGAGGAAGTATCTCTAGCGAGGGTACAGATGAGTTCGACGAGGAGGACTACTGTGGGGAACTAGGAGACGACGTTGAGGTTAGATCGGTGGGATACGACAACGATTTTTGGGAGCCTTTACACGACGATGCGTTGGGTGGGACAGATGCTGTTGAGCTGATGTGTCCGCCAACAGAGGGATTTGATGGGAGGGCAGTGGCGATGGGTGTTAGGTGCGACGTATTGCGGGGGGTGTATCTGCAGAAGAGTCTGCGGTTGTGGATCCAGGTGTGCATAAAACTCCACTGGGGATAAAGCCGGTGGGCGATGGTCACGTTGGTGTGGATGCTATAGGAGTGGATGATGCTACTGTCCATGTTAATAAGAACACGCCTCTCCAGTGTCGTGGACCACTTACCCGTGACAGAAGTATCCATCGAACCTGAACACAGATACTTCCAGGCATGGTCATTCGGAAAAGCGTGCTGAACTCATCCACGAAATTGATGATGAGGAATTTGACATTCCGCCCTTGTTTGACGACACCACATACGCGTACGAGGAAATCCCGGACTTGGATATCGAAGGTGTGGATGAACACATATTTGAAGGAAAAAATTTTTGGAAGTAAACAAGAGTGTCGCATTGCATTGGCAATATTTGCAATTAAAGGTAGGTTTACTTTCAAGCAACATACAACAAAAGCCACTACTTTGTGGTCAGTTGCACCGATAGTTTGTGTGATTGGAGGGTTCTAGCGAGAGAGGTAGGAGGCTGTGGGTACTATGAGTTAAAGAAGGCTAGTTTGGAGCATACTTGCGACAGAGACACCAGGAATGTATATAAGAAAAAGGCGACTGCACGTGTTATTGCGGCAGTGTTTAAGGCTAAATATGGAGACCCGGAAAATGGACCACGAGCTGCGGAGTTACAGCAGATGGTGTTGGAAGAATTGCGCATCGATGCCTCGTACATGACATGCTATAGGGCGAAAGAGAAAGCGGTTCAGAGTTTAAGAGGATCCGATGAAGATTCATACAGTCGGCTCCCAATACACTTGCACATGCTCAAACTTGAGAACCCTGGTACAGTAACAGATTTAGAGGTGGAGACGGATGATGCGCGTGTCCAGCGATTCTTGTATTTGTTTGTAGCGTTTGGTGCGTCTATTAGGGGGTTTAGAAAGCTTAGGCCGGTGGTTGTGTTGGATGGTACGCATCTATGGGGAAAGTACCAAGGCGTGTTGTTGACAGCCTGCGGGCAAGAGGCCAACTTTCAAGTTTTCCCACTCGCATACGCGGTAGTGGATAGTGAGAACGACAAATCTTGGATTTGGTTTCTGGAAAGGTTGGAGAAGATATTGGCTGACAGTCCCGTGTTGACGATAATCTCTGATAGAAACCAGTCCATATATAAGGGCTTGCGATTTGCGTACCCAAAAGCTAGACATGGGTGTTGCATTGTGCATTTGGCAAGGAATGTGGCTAGTAGGTTTCACAACAAAGGGTTGGCGAAACTTGTTGTTGGGGCTGCATTTTCATACCGTGTAGGTGTATTTAAACAGTATTTTGAGAAGATAAAGGCTGTGAGTGGGGAGTGCAGCAAATACTTAGAAGGAGTAGGGGTGGCGCATTGGACACGTGTGTATTGTGTGGGAGAACGTTACAACATAATGACGAGTAACGCATGTGAGCAAATGAACAAAGCTTTGAAGAAAGGTAGGGGGGTCTCCCATCGTGAAGTTGCTAAAGTTTATTCAAGCCATGATGACTCGGTGGTTCAATGCTAGACGAAAAACGTCCCTCAAGCATCGCGGGAGTGTCCCTCCAGAGGTGGAGAAGGTGATGGCTCAACATTGCGAGGACGTGAAAGGCACGAAGCTTAACACTATAACTGATTGGAGCTGTCAGGTAGTAGGTCAGTTTGGGGAGACCAACAAAGTATGTCTAACGGAGAGGAGATGCTCGTGTAAGAAGTTTGACAGGTTAAAAATTCCATGTGGGCATGCTTTGCTTGTGGCGGATAGTGTTGGTTTGGCAGCGAGCACTTTGGTTGGTGTTGCTTACAGGCCTGAGACATGGAGGGAGACATATGCAGGCGTGATTAGCCCTGCGGGCAAAGAGGGAGATGTGGAGGTTCCAGCTAACGTGAGTAATATGATCCTGCATCCACCTCGGCGTAAACGTGCTCCTGGGAGGCGTAAGGAAAAGCGGATTCGTTCGGTTGGAGAGTTGCCTGCAAGTGTGTTTTTATTTGCTCCGGATAGCACTTGAATGTGTAATATTCTGATGTGTAGAGCTTTGATTTACTTGCAGGTTACGAGAGTGAAGAAGGAGAAGCCTAATAAGTACTATAAGTGTTCACAGCCTGGGCACAACCGTACGAGTTGGCCGTTGCTAAAATAGGAGGAATATGGGTAAGAGTGAAGTAGTTGGTGAGTAGTTTTTTGAGTTTAGTGGTGGGGTGGGGGTCGACAATCCTTGTTAAATGGCGATAGTTTAGTTGGTTTTTTGTGTGATTGTTTGCGCAGCCTCGGTTCGATTGGGAGAGGTGATTATCCTATATGTTTGTATTTGCATAATGGAAACATTTATTTTGAACTTTTTGTGAGTATTTGTATCGCCATTTGTTGTTTATATCATTAAATATCCCCAATGTCATTGTTGGTTATAACATTGAGTTTCGTGTACATAACGTATGGTGTTGTCTGATGTATAGGCATTTGTGTGTGCTGTTTGTTGAAAACTATGGAAAGTTTGACCTCCAGTTGGGGTGTTGGTGAAAGACGTGTTTATAACCCTATTTTTGTGGATAGAAATTCGTGTGGTGGAACATAAGGCATGTGTGTGCGGCAAAGTGATTTATGATGTAATATTGTGGTCGATACCGTGTGGATAACCGATGTAAGAACATATAGTTGTGCTGGAAAGAAATAAGATTTTGTATACTGAAAAGACATTGTAGATTGAATAGGTGATGTATGGTAGTGGACTTGTAAGTTGGACATTAAATTTACGTGTACGTAGATTTAATTGCCGTAAATATAGCGTGGTCAGAAAGAACTGTAGTATATAGTGGATAAAGTCACTGTGGAGACGATGTTTAGCAATAGCTAGCCGCCCATGTTTAGCTGTACATAGACTAGAGTATTGTGGTTATCGTATGTTGGGCGGTTGTATCTGCTACTATTATAGTATTATAATAATTTAGTGGTTCATCCTAGACAGTGGTTGTGGTGCTTTGATTATAAAATTGCAGTGGTAGGTTGTCGTGTTGTTTGTGGTGGTGTAGAATGGGACGCCATGGTAGCTTCGAAGGGACTGCGAACTCAAGCGAGAGTGCGAACACCCATACTGTGGGTCCGATGTGTCACTGTGCTAGGGAGACAAGGATCACTAAGTCGTGGTCCTACGATAACCCTGGTAGGGCAATATTTTAAATGCGAAATCCATGGGTTTTACAGGTGGTATGATGCGGAGAAGCCCCATGGGTGGCAGAAGACGAGTCTTCTGGAGGCACGAGATTTGATTCGAGAGAAAGCGCAGGAGATAGGACAGCTTAGGGGTGCGGTAAGGGCTTTGGAGGAGCAAAACGCTAAATTAATGGCGGCAAGACCTGGAAGCGAGAATGAGAAAATGGGGGAAGTGGGAATTGTGTGCGTGGATGGGGGGTTGGAGATTGAGTTGGCGTCAATGAAGGGGAAGGAGCAAGCTATGAGGCAGTTGTTTGTGATTTCGTGGGCTGGTTTTATCCTGTTAACGTTTATGATGTTAGTTGTAGTGAAGGTGTTATAAGTACGATGGGGTGGTTGTATCTTAATAATCTAGTGGGCAGCTATATCCTGATGTTGAAGTATGTGCTGCAATAAGTGTGTGTGTGTTTGTAATGTCCCTTTAATATAATTTGAGAAATCTATAGTTCAATCTTATTTTTTCTTTTTCATATTAGTTTTGATTTATAAGTCGACCGGTATGTTAATCGAAGTGTTCTTGTACCCCTAGTTGAAATGTGTAGTCGGTGTGTAGATTTAATTTTGTGATCATTTTGGTTGAAGGCATGATAAAGATTGGCAGACATTGACATTATGGTGTGGACAATTGTAATTACTTCATGTGGAGGCCTCATGTGGATGGAAACACATGGACATTATATTATGGACAGTTGTGTTTAGTTCGTGTGACTGCGTGATATGAATGGGAAACATTGACATAAATTAATGGGCCACTAGGTGTGTGTATTTTTTCAGACATGAATTGTGAGCTGTTGAGTTACGGAAGGAGCCCTAATTTTTTTTTGTATATATTGCGTGGTTGGGGTTCGTTGGGTGAGGATGCTATTTTAATAGGGCAAATGAAATGAATGAGAGTGCATTTGCGGAGTCCGCGAAGAATTTGTACTACCGCCGAAAATCACCCACGGAGGGACCGAATTGCCACTGCTGTAGGGTGATAACGTTGACAAGGTCATGGACGAATGAGAACCCTGGTAGGAAGTACTACAAATGCGGAAAGCATGGCTTCTATGTATGGTGTGACAGCGAAAAATCGGAAGGGTGGCAGCGCGAGTGTCTGTTAGAGTGCCGCGACCAGATCCGCAGACAAACGCAAGAGATTAAAGAGCTAAAAGACGCATTGGTGGCGGCGTCGCCGGCGGATGTGAATATTGATGGAGAAGTGGTGAATGGGGCAGCCTGGATTCGAAGAACCGAGCAGGATCTGATTGCGTTGCAGGAAAGAGAGAAGTTGCTTCGTCAGTTTGTAATGATTTTGTTTTTGGGATTTTTAGTTGGGCTTGTGTTGATGTTGGCTTTGGTGAGGAAATAGAGTTGCCGTGAGTGGGCATTGCAATTTATGGTTAGTTGCGGGAAGGGTCTTCGGGATTTTTTAATGTTGTAGGAGTTGTGTTTTTGTGTTGGAAAGAGATGATATTTTAGTGGTGAAATGTAAGGGATATAATTTGTGGTGTTGTTTTTGGGCATACGTGGACGCCGGTCAGTGGTCAAACTTTATTGTATCAAAGATTTTATTTATTATGTGTTTGTATATTAGCAAGAAATTAATGAACCCAAGATTGATTTATAATTTGTATGAAGACTTTGTAACAGAGATATCATTTATTATGTGTTCGTTGTTGGTTCTGTAAAATAAATGTAAGTAGTTTAACAAATTTGATCCATCTGGATGTATTAAAATTAGTTCGGGGACATTGTGTGAGCCATTTGTAAAGGCTGAGAGTGCTTAATTTGGTCTCGACTGTAGAACAAAAAAACTGTTCGTTGCGATTAATTTTGCGGTGTTGGTTGCGGATCTTTGTGGACGCTGTTCAGTTGGGAAACGTAATTGAAGGCGTGTGGGCATATGTGTATGGACAGGTTCTGATAGTGGAATGGGAGGTTTTTAATATATTGGCCAAAAATTAATAAAAATGACATTGTATTGTTTGACAAGTTCGATCCATCTTTGCGTAATACAATTGGGTCGGGAACAAATCTTGGTGTTCGTAGTATAAGGGACTTGTAATTACATTCAGTTATGGCCAGAATAACAAGATCTGGGGACATGGTGGACTCGCATTCTGTGGACATAATGTGCTGGGTAGCTAGCGACGGACGTTAGCGTAGTGATGAAATCTTCTTAGAGTAGTAAATGGAAGTGAGAAAATTTGTAAAGGCAAAGTGCTTATTTTTATAACAAGGAAACAACGGAAAAACATTGGCAGCTCTTACATGATGATGCCCGCGATGTACAAAAAGGTAACGCCAATCGCAGCGCGTAGAGTAAACCATTTAAAATTCAAAATGAGGCGTAGAGTGTGGGTGCGAAGAACAAACTAATTTGTAGGTGATGTCTGGTGCAGAGGCAAGACAAGGTCGCGGTAGATATCAAGAGCGTAGTGTTTGCGGAAGCGATCTACATGGTCGACCGTCATTCCAAACATGTGGGGCTGGGGGTCTCCGGCTAAGTGCAATTCCATGAACTTGATGCACACGGGTCCATAATCGCCGTCACGGTCGTTGCGGTAGATGTCCTTGACGCAACTCTATTTGTAAGGGGCGAATCCGTTTTCTCGCGACGCTTGTGGGCAGAGACTGGTTACAACGTAAGGGAGCATGTGACAAAGTGGTGTCATCAATGTACTGATGGCGCTGTGGGACGGGGGATTATGATTGGGATCGAGAATTTCGATGTGGGTGAGGTTGATGTTGATAGCCAGTCAAACCCAATAGTTTCCTTCCCAACACATTGGGACGTAAACAGTATTTGTATCCGCCACCCATGTTTTGCCGGGGGTGTTGACAAATATGCTTACATCGTCCCATCTTAGTTGCGCCTTGAACTTGGAGGCGTAGAACTTTCTGGCTTTTCCGATGATGTGCCCAATTAAGTAGGGTGAGCAGAAGGACCCAATCTCTTCTGCAGATTGTTTACTTGATAGCCATCTCATTATGACGTCCAGGTGCTGTAAAAATTGAATTTTTGAAGAGTCGTAAAGGAACATGAGACAAAAATGTACAGAATGAGAGGAAGTTCAGTTATACTTCAACTGGTAGAAGGTAGTTGGGTGTGGCGAGAGTTAGGAAGAAGTTGTTGTCAAATACGGAGCCTTGATTGGAGAAGTGGGACCTGCAATGGTAAGACTGATATGGTGAAAATATAGTTGCCGTAAAATGTAGAGTTCATACTTATACTAAAAAGACGACCATTGTGGACGACAGAATAAGTTCATTGATGACTCATAATAGTGTAGACACTGAAAGGTGGTAATCCAGTGAACAAGATGTGGTGGGCGAAAAATCGAGTTAACGTTTTGGTCAGAACAATATGGATAAATAAGTGTGGATGGTCTGTGTGTGCAAAATCGTGTACTTGTAGTGGACAACATAAGTGTGGATGGGCCGTATATTTGAAACATCGGTGGTGTGGACAGTAAAGAGAAAAATAGAACGAAGCATGTAAAAAAATTTTGATAGATAAGTATTGAGCAAATGGTTATAAAATTTAGTATCGATGACTTACAACTTGGGTGACAACTCGAGTGTCTGCTTAAAGAGTTTCCAGAGTTCCTCATCGACGGGGTCAAGTAAGGGGTTGATACTAGGGGCTGTCCGTTGTTGTAGTGTGACAGCCAGAAGTTTTTGTAGCTCCGAAGGCATGTGACTTAGGAGCGATGGTGACATAATAGCTTCGGTGAATGGTACAGGGCCATCATCCCCGTTAAGCAGAGGCTTTTTGTTCGCTGGTTGTTGAGAGGTAATAGGTAGTGTTGGGCTTGGTGGGCTTGGTGGCTGTATAAGATAAAGCGAGAGCGTTTGTTAAAAGCAGGGATTAAATGATATAAACTAGAAAAAATGATTGTGTAGAGAGTGTGTAGCAGAGGAGTCTACTGTTGTAGTAGAGGGAAATGATTGTTGTAATATTGAAATGGGGTCTGGTACCTGGTCGTCGGCTAAAGGAGAGGCTGGATCCGTTAGTTGTTGGTGGATTGGGGTCCCATTATCCTCAAAGCTGTGTTGTGGATCTGCAATAGGGTTTTGGTCAACGAGATACGAGTCTACTGGGTCATCTCCTTCTGGATTAGACTGAGCATCGTAGTCAGGTCTGCGTGAGAGGATGTTCGCCTCTGCTGGCTGAGTGGCGGAGATGTCCAACAGTAGTTGCCCCTTTGCGGCAGATATGGTGACCTGTAGGTGAACAAAGAAATATATTATCTATGTTGGCTACGAAGGTGATGAAAATAAATTGTGGTAAGATACTTTTGGATCACAATACTGATGCAAACCTCTTGGTGTTTGGAGTGTGTAGCGAGGGTATCCATCCAATGTTGTCCAGCATAATCTAAATTGTGTTCCTGCGTGTTGGATGTATTATTAGTGGATATCGGAAATGGAGCGGAACATGTTGATGTATGAAACAGTTAGGGAAGATTGTTCGTACTTGGTGTTCGATGTTGGTATTGTTAAGGACTTGAGTGTGATAATCGTGTTTGTCCTTCTGGGGATGGCGAGAAGGAGCTAATGTGGTGGTCTGCATAGATGTGAAAAACAAGATGTGTTGGTAAGGTGGGAAGGAGCTAATGTGGTGGGAGTGCATGGTAAAGAAGCAAGAAGAATACCTCTTTACGTGGCAGGTGAGTGACATAGTTGTCCAGCAAAAGCTGTCCGCCAGGTAGTACCTTAGCACGATATGTGGTGGTGGATGGTACTTGGTGGTCAGTATTGGTGATCATCGGAATTACATTTTGAGGTGGATGAAAATCATGATTATCAATTGATAGCTGTGCAGCGGTGAGTGTCGATATTATAGAACATATGTGATGGTTAAATAAGTTTGTGAGAGAACGATATGTTGTATGGGTGATGAGACGGATTGTTACCAGTATTTGGGAGGGTCCATGATCTCCATTGTTAACAAAGTCTAGAACAGCAGAGATGATGTCGTCGGGCCCCTGTTCCTGCACAGCATAAAGTGGTGTTAATAGTATAAATGCATAATTAATATGATGCGTGAAAGTAGAAAGGGGCGGGGATGTCTGAATACCTGGTTTGTTGGCGGAGATTGTACTTTGTAGTGAGTTTGTGGTTTGCCTTGTGAGATGGTACGAGTGGTGGGAGAAGTATTTGCCTCCTGCAATTGTGTGTGCAGTTAACTCAAAGCCATGGAAAAAAATGAAGAGATAAATAGTATCATGTTAAGACTTACAGTGTTGGGGTCGGAGAAGTACTCAACAGCGACTACATTGGGAGTACCCTGTACGAGTAAAATGTATGGGGAAATGATGGATTGTGTGTTGCCTTAAAAAACAGAAATAGTTGGGCATTAGCACGGGTGATTGCTTACATATGGTGTGAGATCTTCTTCTGGAGATTGATCAAGTCTTTCGCCGCCTTGCGAACTTATTATGCGGTGAGGTATAGGTGAGCGTTGTCCTGGCTTGCTAAAGATGTGGGATCTTCCTTTAGCCCGTTTTGTAGGTGTGTTTTGTGAAGACAATCGGCGCCTCTTTTTTGGGTTTAGCTGGTTCTCTAGAATGGTCTGCTTCTGTTGAAGAAGTTTAAATTGGTTGAATAGCTCTTGGTTTTGATGAAATAACAACTTTAACTGGCGTTGGAGGTCTTTGATGGAGGAGTTCACCCGGTTTTGTGTCCCGTCGGACTCTAGTTTACCGGAAGAGATACAGACTTCGAGGTTGGCGTGTTGGCGTTCTTTCCTGTTTATAAGGTGTTTTTTGTGCTTCATACTGACAGTCGGAGCTTGTTTCATGACGATTAAAGGGAAACTGGTATCGCCACCTGACCATTCCTGCTTGTGGAATGCATCAGATCGGCGAATGCGGGCAAATAGGTGCTTCACTCGCTTATCGTATGTCTCATCATCCCATTCGCCAAACCCGTCTTCGTCGGGAGGGTCTCTGTCGATTAGCGGAGTTACCGTGAGCTGCATGAGAGAAAAATATTTGGGTGTTAATATATTATTACAGTGATGGTCAATACAGTATGGTTAATTTAGTGTGGACAAAATAGTATTTAATTTCCTGTGTTCAGATTAACATGGATGCAACAGAAGTGATACTTACTTCACGCTCTGACTCGGCCTGATGAACCTGACTGAGTGTGAGAGAGCCTTGTTTCGGAATTTTTAAACCAGACATATCAAGCAGCGTCGGTTGGTCAGAGGTGTTGTGGAGCTTAGACAAAAGCTGTGGTACCAACCGGAAAGCTAGTAGCTGAAGGGCAAGAGGGAATCCACAAAGACGCATAGATCTGCTGCTGAGTTGCTGTCTTAGTGTGTTAACTGGGTTTTCGTTCTTACCAACCGTTGGCTTTTCAGGCAGCATAGTCCCAACAGTCCTGAGGAATGATTCACGGCCCCAGGGAAAAGCGAGGAAGGAGTCTAGGTCTCTGACCATTCTCACGTATCGTGGAGTGGGTTTATGGACATGTGAATTAGCTATAAGTACACAATCAACAATGATAAGGAGTGACAACTGCAGTTTTCTTTTACTTGGCATGTCCGGATCATTTTCCAACATATCGCTGATATCTCCGCAAGTGGTCTTCATGTCTACAGATACGATTTCTGCCTATGCTTCGTCTGGATCAGTCTGCTTGTGGTTTTGGAAATCTGGGTGGTATCCCTCTGGCAACTCGCCGCATGGTAAACCAGTTATGCTAGCAAACTCTGTGAGTGAGAATCTAAACGGTTGTCCACCAAAAACAAACCAATTCTCGTATTTTTTGTTGGTAACCAGTTGCCTTGTCAGTAAGGCATGTAGTAGTTTGCCAGAAATATGGCACATGGCCGCTGGTATGTCAAATAAAGGACCAAATACAGAGTTCTTGATCATCTCAAATTCAACAGTGCCAGCGAGATCCCGCTGGATAACCTTGAGTGAATCTGGTTTAGAGTATACATTGATTCTCGCATCAGGGAATCTGTCGCTGGCGAATAGGCGATTAGGTAGATGTTTGTCCCATCGCTCCGAGAGCTCTGTTCCTGCAAGAGCTTAGATAATGGTTTGAGAAAGGTTAGTGGACAGAAGACGCACTGTAATGGACAATAAGTCCTTGGACATGCAAATGTATCCACCAATACCTTGAACTGGTGAACGATTTAATGTGGCCACAACATTAACCAAACATGTTTTCGGAATATTGTGGATAAACAAAGCTGATTGTATTATTCGGTTTAGCGTGGATGCAAAGTAAAAGGTATCCAGAATTCGTGTGGATGTGGATGCAATACTGTATATCTAGAATAGCCCAAAATCTATTAAGTGATTGTGTGAATAGAAAAATCATCATTGTGGACAAGAAATCGATGAGAATTTTTTAACAATGATCTAAATGAAGGGTGTATGTGAATACTAAAAAAGGTTGAACAATAATTTTAAAAATATACACGCCCCGATTCTTAATTCTGGAAAAGGGATGAATATAAGAATCCAGAACAAAATTGTACCTTCTATGGCAAGATTCTCTTGTCTATCCATATCGCACGTGGCCAGATGCTACGACGGAAGGAAATACAGGGTACAAAGAGGTAGCGGCGGCGGTGGACGAATTTCTGTGGAGGTTTTAGGGTTCCGACTAAAAATGCGTTGATTTTGCGGCGTTGTCGAGATGCATCTCTAGTAAAAATAAAAAGGTGAAAATGGAGGATAGAAAAATTGTGCTTACAGCTGTTATTGTATTTGAGATGAAAAAATGGAAAAGGGTATAATAGACATATCATATATAGAAAGTCCCTAAATTGCAGTAAGTGCTTATAATGTAAGTTGTGTTTTGAAAAGTATCCTTAAGTGTAAATAATTCAATGAGTCGTTTACGCATTTAGGCACTTTTCATACTTTAACTTTCATTTTAGGCACATCTAGCAATCTGGTGACTTTCGTCTAAAAGAGCGTTAGTATAGTTACTGAAATACCCTTTTTTAAATTTATGGAAATAAGTTATAATTAAATGACCGTGGTTTGTTATAACTTTTTTACTGTAATATTCACCGCTTCATCATCGGGAAACAGATGCGGCAGATGATTCAGAAATTTCTCAGTATCACCGGCAACTACGGACAGAGACATCGCTGAATTGCTAAATGTTTTCGATGTCACGGCGAGGACGTATCAGAGTTTTTAACCACCGCTGATGGTGGCCGGTCTTGACATCAGAGAGGATATGTATATTGACACATGAAGCGGACCGAGGGGAGTTTCAAATCGGAGAGGACGCGCTAACGGTGGTCGGTCGTTAAGTCTGATAGGATATGTAAATTGACACACGAAGCGGGGACAGAGGAGTGGTGGACATGATTTTACTTAGTTGGGTGTGTGAGACAGTTGTGTGTACGTAGATGATGTGTTGATGTATATGGACAGATTTACATAGCTGGACAACGTGGATAGAAAATCATGGACAATCACACCTACTCGGTGGACAATATTGTAACGGACAATATCCTATGGATAGAAAAATTGTAGAAGTGTTGTTGCTCGTTGGCAAGCACTATCCACCGAGTACTAGCGTTGTAGTAGTGAAGGTTGGATATGTTCAGCGGGATGAAAATTACTAGTTGTGATTGCTTGTGGATTGAAAATAAGTGACAAGCCGGGTTCAAGGATTTGTGAATGGAGAAGGGAGAGCAATCGAAATACACGATGATGTGGGCGAAAAATGTTAAAAATTAGAATAAGTAGATTTAAAATATTATGGGCGCATAACTGTATTAATACGTTGGAGAGGTGGACACTATATGCAATTGTCATTTGATAAAAATATTCGTGGATGAGCACCTATGGATACGCACCTACAGATACGTTTGCAGATACAATTGTGGATACGCACTTGTGGATACAAACCTATGGATATGCTTGCAAATACAGTTCTGGATACACGCTTGTGGATACACACTTGTGGAAACATCTATGTGGATGCACACATGTGAATACACATCTGTGGATATACACCTGTGGTAACAGTTGTAGATACCCCTTTGTGGATACGCCTTTGTCGATACATACTTTATGTTAGATATAATAGAAGAATAGACACAAAAATTATGGACATAAGATTGATGGACACGGTATTACCGACATAAGACAAACACACAATAATATAGACACAATAGCATGGATAGAGTAATATAAATTCATATGGATATAATTGCATATAAAAAGTTATATAAATATAATTGTATGGATAGATTCTGATGGACAAGAACATATGAAGTCATTGGAAAAGGAAGCTACATAGTTGTTTGTGCTTCTTCAATGTTTATGTTAATAAGTATGTACACGAGTTTGTGTTCACAATATTGTTTCCAAGCATTTGATTCCATAAGATCCTTAAGACATTCTAGTCCATTAGATTTTATCCATATAAATGTAAAGCTACTCGGTTTATATAATTAATAATTATATTTTGATTCTTCATACTAACTGAACATTATGTAATTTAATGGGTTGTGCTCATAAGATTATGTCTACGGGTTGTTTGGTTCCACGAGTTCCTGCGTACAACATTTTGGGACATTAGTTTTTGTTCATATAAAATGTCGATAAAGCTATAAGGGTAGAGATAACTACTAACACTTCGTTGCTTGCTTCATACCTGACCAAGTGACCATGCCTTCCTATCCATATGATTGTGTCCATAAGAATACATGTTCACGCTTAAATTGTCCATTTGATTGTATCCATAAAAATACATGTCCACGACTTTCCTGTCCATTTGATTGGGTCCAATGAGAACACATGTTCACCACTTCCCTATCCATGAGAATTTGTACACTATTTTGATTTAGCAAATAATTCCAGAAATACAGTAATTAAAAGACAGATGAGCGAAACCAGATCCAGGAAGAGAATCGATAAGCTTACCCATGAGAGTAGATTTAAGGAGATTCAACAAGGGACTCCAGGAATGAAGCTATTTTGAGCAAGGAAAATGGAAGAGAAATCAAAAACAAATTATTTGTCCATCAAACCGAATCATTCTCCGATGACCAGAAATTCTGTGATGTTTAAAATGCTAGAAAAGTTAAAGACAGAAAGTTACCTTCCGCAATGGAATTGGAGGCGTCACCCATATTCTCGATGTAATAGATCTGGCGATTGAGATTGGTGATGTGTAACGACAAAGAAATAAAGGGTTTCGGCGAAGACAACAAAAGACGAAGGACTATTATTTTAATAGGAGTGTGTTGTGATCTAACCGATTGATAGACGGTGTCGAGAGAAGGGGATTTCGCAGAGAAACGGTGGATTTGGGGTAGGAGAAGGTAATACAACTGAAATTGGATTGTATAGCGATTGAGATTCAGAGAAGGGCTAGTGTTCTGACGATTAGGTTTCCAGCGATTGTAGCTGTGGTGCGGTGAAGCAAGAGCAGCTGTTTAGATCGATGACAGGATTGATGTTTTCTTTGATACCGTAAAAGCAAAAAGTTATTGACAATATGTGAGATAAAGACGAAGTGTGGTTTAAAAGATTAAAGGGTAATATCGATAAATAACATAGTCAAAGTCACCTAATTGCTGGAAGTGCCTACAATGTAAGATGAGTTTGGTAAAGTGTCCTTAAGAGTAATAAATTCAACAACTTGCTGGAAAGAGGTGGGTTCAATAGCAGAACTGATGGCGACTTGAAATGCCCGATCATCTGCTAAAAAACGATCACTGCTGATATAAGATGCAATGGGATACGCAAATGTCGAAACCGTATTGATGACGTAATTGCGCAAATTCACCGATTGTATCTTTTGACTATGTCCACGACCTAAATTCACAGGTGCAGATTGTTAGAGATGAGATTTGTACCATCTCTACAAGCCCGATATGAATTCTGGTCGACTCATCCTACAAGGTCCAGGTAGGCATAATAAATGGAAATCTTCCATTTATCCATCGAACCCGGAAAAAAAGGAAGTTAAGTCTTGTCGGCAAGAAGACTTTCCTATTCTATACCTACAAGACCGACCTGATCGGCTATAAATACGGGAAGTCTTCGATCATTCAAGATCATCCAGAAATCACCTCTCGAGACCTAGGGCAAACTAAGCAATCTATTTGTTTTAGCTCTCGATCTACTTTCCTTAAAAGTTTAGGTTGGCGTTCTTATTCTAACGACCTAAACCTCCGTGTATTCTATCAAGCTCCGGCTATTCTTAATAAAAGATCTTTCTTTAAACCCACAAACTCTTATTCATTCTTTAGATCGAATTTGAATTTTCATACAGACAAAGGGGGCTCCGCTAATTTCGGCGATGGTGGTGGTGGCGCAATTTGAATTTCAGATGTGATTACTCTCTCGGTCGGAGATATAAATGTGGATGATGAAGCTTCTCGATTCTATGGTTTCTTGAGTATTGGACTGGGCCATAATGTTTGGCGTTGTAACGGGCATTATTGTTTCTAATGGGCTAAGTTAATCAAGTAGCCTTGAATTTCACTTAAAGAAGCCCACAAAATTTGAATCTTCTCCTTCTCCTTCATTGCTTCAGGAACGAACATGAATGAACAAAATCTGTCTCACATAAACCAAAAAATTCTCGTTTCTCCAAATCTAAA